AAGTGATAGAGAAATAAGGGAGAAGAGTAGAGAAAGAAGGGGAGAAGGTAAACCATTATTTGTTTACACTTTCTAACAACCACCCAACAACTCAGATTCCCAACGTATTTCTCCTCCCAAAATTCATAAAACCCTCTAAATAACTCTCTCTTTTATTCATGTAAAGAAAGACATTCTACCATAGCATACTTCTCACTGAAAGCATTCATAATCATATTAAAGCTACAAAATATTTTCACCAAAACCATCACAATAAAACCACGCGCATATAAAAATGAGAGTCATAACTATACTTTTCCAAACCAAATAGTAGTTACTCGACTCATCGCTCAATGATCATCTTCATATCTTAACTCACATGACTAAGAAGGTTTTTATAGACATTCCAAGTGCAATAAAGACATGCAGACTATGCAGGATGACGTTGTCATGCCATATACCACATGCAATGATAAGAGGAGAGATTTGTTAGGGAGAGTGAGGGGGTTAAACCTCGAACTAGGATTCAAGCATATTAGACAAAGAAAACAAAAGACGGCAGAGGAGAACTACTGGAGTAGCAGATTTGGGCATCAAACTATTAATATATCTAAACCATCCAAGAACCTAGAAATCGTATAGTAAAAAATTTAATAAGTTGATTCTCGATTCTCTTGTTCTAGTCTCATTCTTGCGCAATTGATCCAGAATAAATGTAGAAATCTACTCCAATTTGATTCGCCCCATTATGAAAAATTGTAGCCGAGGCTACAGGTCAAGTAACCTGGTTAATCACATAATTAATGCGTTATTTCAAACCAAAACAAAGATCATCTAGGGGATAATTCATCTATGAGAAAGTTTAAGAAAATCAACTCCCATGTGGTGTAAGGCAATACCCCATACACAAACTTTACAAAATATATAGCTGCAAATAATTGTTTGTGGTATTTTCTATGAAGATTAAATTACGTTTAACAAGAAGTCCCCCTAAGTTGATCTACTATTTGGGGAGTTAGCACATTAGAGTATACTTTGACTCCAATATGCCATTGATTGTATAAATCAAGTTTCAAACAAGCACTGATGTGATAAACCAAAAAATTTATATTAACGCAATCAAATGCTTAAGTACTTAGATGTTCCAGAAATTTATAAACTAAACAAACTGTAAATATGATGTCAGGCACGGTAACAGAAAAGCCATTTAATTCTCCAACAACTCCCTTGTGCTAAGCTGGATCAGGCAACAGTACCATTTATTCAACTTTAAATTTTGTGTAAGGATCCACAACAGCACTCAACTGTTTAGACCTGAACATTCATATCACAGATAATAGATCAATGCAATAACTTTTTATTTGTTCCGAAGTGGAAAAATACAACTTCCAAAGAAGTGCTTTAAGTTGTTCCATATCCTTTCGTAGGAAGGTGTGCTTGTTATCCACTTTTGTACCGAGCATCCATTAAAATAATTAATTAATACATGTGTTGGAATTAAAATTATCAAGCAATCTTCATTTTAAGAGTGACACCTAACAATAATAACTCAAATTAATAGTAGAACCTTGAAATTCTTATCCCTCATTCAAAGAAATTTTACTTTAGATTATACATTCCTTTTCCCATATATTTCATTTCTTTCTCTATGTGCAGCTTATATAGACAGATGATGTAGAACTATGATGATGGCAATGATGTTTGTTATGATTTTGCACAACTTCTTGATTAGAGGAATAGCAAATAAACTACTAGCAATTAAAACGACGAAAGAAAATAGGGGTGTCAATTTCGGGTCACGGGTCGGGTTCGGGTCGAACCCGAAACTGACCCGGCACTGTTCGGGTCAACCCAAACCCGACCCGTTTTTGCAAACGGGTCAACTTTTGGGAACCGAACCCAACCCGCTTCGAGTTCGGATCAACCCGACCCGACACGGATTTGCGCGATCTGGCTGAAGAAGCGCGCGAAATAGTTGGCGTGCGACGCGACGGCTGGCGTGCGACGCAGACGGCGTGCGACGCAGCGAGCCAGCGACGGTGCGAGGCCCGCGAGGGAGCGGTCACGGGTCACGTTCTGCGATTCTGGAATGCCTTATGGGCTTGACACGGACTCGACGTTGCGACAGATGGACGTGGAATTCGGACTTGACAGCGGGCAGCGGGGCGGGGGCAGCGCAATGGGGCAGCGAGCGGGAATCGAATTTTTTTGAATTAAACGGGTTCGCGGGTTGACCCGGCAACCCGCTAAGTCAACCCGAACCCGACCCATTTTTCAAACGGGTCGATTTCTGGAACCCGACCCGTTTTGAAATCGGGTCGACCCTAACCCGAAAATTCCGGGTCGGGTCCAGGTCGGGTTTTCGTGTCGTGTCAAATATTGACACCCCTAAAAGAAAATGTAAGAAGGGTCACAACCGTTTAGGCTAAGTTGCATAACAAGAGATTTGAAACTTCAAAATAACATAGGAAAATATTATTATGCCAAAATAGTAGCTTCAACAAAATCTCTAGTCTAACATTGCGATTAGTAAACAAATGAATGCGCTCAAATCCTACATTTACTAAGCTTAGCAGAATTGGTGAATGCGTCCTTCATAACTACAATCAACTCACAAGAAAAGGTTAGACTTAAGAAATACGAGAAAAGGAAAATTAGAAAACCTTTGTCAAGGGCCGGGTGCGATCCTCCACTCGACAATCTCAAGTTGTTCTTCAATAGCTTAAATTAGGGTGTCCAAGATACGTTATGTAATCCTCCACAGTATGGTCGATCCTCGGGTTGACGTCGAAGAAGGTTGAATGGAGAATGTGCACGAATCCGTGTTCATCGTAGGCAACGCCGTAATCCGTCTCCGGGTCAGCCATCCAAGCGAGAAGTTGCTGTTTTGACTTTGGGAAGTGCTGGACGGCAAGGACAAGCTTTGCTGAGGACACTATAGTGACGGAGAGCCGGTGGGAACTAGTGGACAGTAAACTGCTCTCTTAATGCGACCTTTGGAAGCTTTCAGGTTGAAGGCAAACCAAGTGCTAGGTGCAAGAAATTCTAGCAGCAACTTGGAGAGCAGGAAAGTTATGAATCGGGTCAGCTTTAGAAGGATTTTGGAGAGATAAAACCCAGCAAAACGGCTAGGGAGGAGACGGCTAGATGGTGGCTAGGTTTTGGAATTATTTCCAATTCGGGAGGCTAAAATTTGGGGACAAAAATTGACGTGGATTCTTGGGGAATTGGTTCAAAGAAAGACTTTGAATTGTTTCCAAGAAAAGGAGGTAGTTTTAGGAAACTAATTTAATTCAAATCCCATGAGGGGGCCGGCGGCTTAAAGAGGGAGGAAGGGATTTAATGTGGTAATTAATGCTTGCTTAATTAATAAATCAAGATTAGAAAAAAAATCTCTTCCTCTCTTAATTTAAAATTTAAATAAGAATTGATTTAATAGGTTTCCTAAAATAAGATTATAATTTAAGTAACTATTTGAAATTCAAATTGATTTGAATTTATTCAAATAAGAGTTACCAAATTTATGAAATCTAATTTAGGAAAGAATTGATAGCAAGTGGGGGAAGGAGGGAGGGACCAAGGAGGGGCCGGCTGTGTGTGTGTGTGTGGGGGGGGGGGGGGGGGGGGGTGTTGGTCATGGATGGGGCGGTGGGTTAGGTATCGTCACTGGGTGGAGGTGGAGTTTTAAATGGCCAGTGGCTTAAGGGTTCAGGAAAGGAGTAGGGTCGGCGGTGGAGATTGGAGGAGGAAGAGATAAGAAGTAGAACCACGAACCTGACTTATCTAGGTTGGTGGGTGATGCACAATTCCTCCCTCTCCTAGGATCTTTCTCCATGACTCTCAAACCCTCACAAGAAAACAAGTGCAAAAACTCTCACAAGAAAACAAGTGCAGAAATTTTTTTAGATAATTCTTCATTACTTTGAAAGAAAGACAAGGAGCTATAAATAGCCTCGTACATAAGACTCAAGAAAATAGAAAAAGACGACAATGCCCTCGAGGCTTACATACGACATCCCTTACTAAAAGGGTACAACGGAAAATTAAATAACACAATTACAACGATAACATAAATAAGAAAATAAATAAATCAAAAGTACAAAGACTCGATCGTGGCCGTAGATCGGCGGCGGCCACGCCTCTGATAAATCTTCTATGATCTGATGTCCCCATCGACAGCACTTTTCAAAAAAATAAAAAATAAACTTATATAGATAGCAAAATTGCTTGTAATTAGATTCAAATGAGAATGATACAATCCACTCAAATTTTCTCACATGATATCAGAGCCTTAAATACTTATATTTCTTCTAGCATCTTGGCTATTTTGTTTCCGACATTCATCATCATCACATGTTGCACATTCGTCATCACATGACTCAATTCAATCCATCATCATCACTTGTTGCACCATGATATCATTGGTTCATCCTTGTTGTCACTTGACTCATTGATCGTTGGGCGTCTTCATCCCTTGACTCACATCAAAAAGACATATGAAGATTATGCAGGGAGAAGTTGTCGTCCTATATACCTCATGCAATATTGACAGTTTTCAGAGAGGAGAGATGAAAGAGAGAGATAATAGAATGGGATGAGAAGTGACCAATGAGTGCATAGGAGAGACAAACAAACTAGCATTTGAGCATGTTAGAGAAAGGAAATGAGCGCGAGAGAGAATAGAGTCAGATGAGAAGTGAACACGGAGGGAGTAGGGGAGACAAACAAACTAGCATTTGAGCATGTTACAGAAAGGAAATGAAAGAAGATATATGAAATGCAATTGGACAAATTAGTCCAGCAAATGAAGCCACAAGTGCTCCTCAAACACTAATATATTAGAGGCTAATGTTTTAAAAGACTAAAAGTTCAGATGTAAAGAGACACAATGTTCTTAAATAAAAGACAGTATAAACATAAGAAAATAAATATACAATTGAAAGGATAAACAAATGAAAATTAAAACAGACACTAGAAGAATATAATATTTTATATAAACAAAAAAAAAACACTTGACTTACTGATATTATCATGTCAGCCCTGCTCTCTTGTATGCCATTGACATGCCTTGCCACAGATGAGCCAGAAACACATAATGCCTACACCATCATATTTAACAAAGCATCTGTTAGAATAATGAACAAATAATGCAAAATGAACCTTAGGCTCTGGATGATTTATAACAAAAGTAAAAATGCAAAATCAGCCTGGAGCCTACAACGCAAAATTTGACATGGTGTAAAACTCTCGCTTTGTTGATGATTTTGGCAATAGTACCTAATCTGAATCTCCTTCGCGAACTCAGAAAAGAGTTCTCTAGTGGGGATGATGACACTAAAGCATTCAGTATGTCTTCTTAGGATATTCAGACACTCAAAACGGATATAAATGATATCATACCACCAAAAAAACAAACAAAAAAAAAACTCATATCAAATTATGTCATATTTAATGAAAAACAACCATACTTACCTTTTAGGAGAGAATAATCACATAGAAGATAAGTCTAACAAACTTTATAGTTTCCCTTGATTGTCAACTGGTAATATAAAAGAAAGACAATAACTTGATTCCACTAAATTAGCTCGCCATTATTAAACCGCTCTGGATCAGCACAAGAAAGCAGCCCATCCAAACTAACTTGCAATTCCAAGACTAAGAACTCATGTCAGGCAACCTTCCTATCGCTCCTAACAATAAACTTGATCAACTTCTTACTAAAACAAAAGTTGCAAAGTTTAAAATTGTGCAATTGGATATTTGGCGTTTTTCGCTCATGAGGCGAGGTGTCAGCCTCAAGTCGAGGCGTAAGCCAAAATTTTCAAAAATTGCATGAAATAGAAATAAAGGTTAAAAGCAATTTTTTATATAATAATCAAATAATATGTCAAATGATGACATTTTAACTTTTTATTGAACTATGAAGTAACAAATTAGCATACATAAGAAACAAAAATTGTACAAGACGTAAAGTGACAAGTGTTAAATTATATGAAATAGAATTAAAATTCAAAAATTACAAAAGCAAAACAATAGAAAATATAGAAATCGCATAAAATTATCATATAACATAAAGTTCAACTCAAAAATCTTTCTTCCAAGTTCCCTACTCATGCGCCATCAATTCCTAAAGAAAACTAAAATAATTGAAAAGCATGTGCACTATCATTTCTGAGGGGGTCTTTTTTAGAGTCATCGACATAATAACTTGGTCTCTCCCCTACCTCATCATATGGAGTCCAATGACTCTCAATCTACTTCTTTTTCATTTATTTCAACAATCTTCCTCTTTCATAAATGTTTATCATCAACATAAAGATGTGAGTAATATTCCATAATTTTTGGAGGAGATAGTGGTGATTTGCGGCTTCAAAGTGATCCCCGACAGAGGCTACGATGGTTGTGACTACAGCGAAGTTGATAGGCTGAAGGTCTAGGAAGCTACTGCAGCTCGGGGGTGCATGAAAGTGTGATTTGTTTGGGACTTTAATTTAGGATTTATGTAATATATATAGTGTGACGTGTATGCCTCATGCTAGCAAGGAAAGTGGAGCCTCAAAACGCACATCAGCCAAACTGAGGTGCACACCTCATACAAAGAGCTCGAAGTGTAACACCTAAGGCCGTTTTCAACGAAATTGCATTGAGGCATGCCTCAATGCGCGCCTCATATTGAATAATTTAAAACAATGAAAGAGTTTGAACACACTATAACCCAGAACTCCATACACATCATTTAAAAACATCTCTTCTACTAATTAAGCCTTCCTTACAAATAATAACACCATCAAAGACTTAGAAACGCTATTGAAGCATTAGAAATGAAGAATTGGAAGAAACTCATGAGTGAAAAAATTAATGCTCTAGGAAAATATCATACCCGGAGACATCTAAGATGCCTAGAAGAAGAAAGAATTCAATAATTCAAGAAGATTTTTACATTGAAATTCTATTAAGGTATAAATCCAACTTAGTGGCTAAAGGATACTCCCAATCCTATGAAAGTGAAAATCAAGACATTTACACGGTTATAAAAATGAATACAATACATATTATGCCATTCTTGGCTGCAAACTATTGATGTTATGCAACAATACACTATAAAAAAATGCTTATTTGCATTTATAAAGAAGAAACTTTTATTAATAACCCGCCAAATTTCAGAAAGTCTTTTTTTTTTTTTTGAAAAACAAGATATGTAAACTAAAAAAATGCATTATATGAATTGAAACAATCTCAAAGGGCATGGTTTTGAGAATTCACAAAAGCCATACATGGAATACAACGACAACATCAAGCCTTTATCCCAGTATGTGGGATCGGCTACATGAATCATTTTTCTCCATTGTGTCCTGTTAAAAGTTAAATTCTCATTTAAATCTAATAAAGAAATGTCATTTCTAAAATTTTCTAACCAAGACTTTATAGGTCTGTTGACCTCATTTTTGTATGAGGTCACTTGGGCCAATCTTGACCCTAGATTAATCCTGATCTCAGATTAATCCAGACCCTAGGATTTTCCTGAATCCTAAGATCCTTCTAGATTTTAGATCCTAGGTTCTACGATAGATCCTAGGATTACTCCAGATAAATCTATATCTTAAGATTTAGTTCAGATCTTATCACTCTTGTAGATTTCAGACTTTAAGATTTATCCTAGACTCTAGGATTCCTCCAAGTCAATTTAAATTCTAGGATTCTCCAAGATCCAGACCTTAACATCTATTTAGGTCTTAGGATTCTTCAGGAGCCTAGATCATAGGACCTATCTAGAACCTATGACTCCTCTAAGTCCTAAACCCTAGAATCCCTTTAGATTCTAGGATGAATCTAGACTTCAAACCAATCATGGCCTTAAGCTAACGCAGATCTCAATTCAAATCAAACCTCAATCAAAATCCAGACTCCAGTCCAGTTCAAGATCTTAATCTCCAGTTCAAATCTTAATCTTGTTTATAATCAAACTTCAACCTTATCCAATCAATTATGATCCTCCAAATAATCATAAATGATTTAGATAACTCAAACTTAATTAATCAAACTTAAAATCCAGATCAAATCCAAAATTCAAACCCAAATCCTAAGTCCAAAGGCCCTGTCCTAAAGACCTTCTTCAGGGATTTTTCAAACACTTCAAAACCCAGTCAATTGACCTCTGATTCAGAGTCTATCAGTTGCATACTGATGGGACATGTCTCTAGAAGCAACCCTCCAAATTTGAGCTCATTCTGAAATCTCTAACCCCAAAAACTAAATCAAAATCAAAAGGTTGTAAAACATTTAAATATTTACAGCCTATGCCACTAGATCTGCCACCTAGTGGATTTTGACCTTGGAGCTTTTCAAAGCCTCCAATCACTTCTAAATACTTAATCCTGATCCATTGAACATTAAACTGCATTTTGGTGGACCCATTTTGACCCCCAGTCAACCATGGGTCAAAATCACCAAAATAACCCTTAGGGGGGGCTCAAATATCAATTTCAAACCAAATAAACTCTAAATCGCTTGCAACCACTTCCAGCAAATTTCAAATGTCAAAACAAACCAATTAGACCCATTTCTAAACTCTGGGTCAACCTGGTTGACCAAGTCAACAGGGTTGACCTAAGAGGCCATTTAAGGGTCTAAATAGGTGATTTGACTGAAACGACCTATCTAAGCCATGAAACCACTTCTATTGATTTTTAAATGTCATTTCAAACTTGTTGAGCCCAAATTCGGGTCCCAGGTCAACCTAGTTGACCAAGTCAACCTAAGTTGATCTAAATATCCTTTAATGTTTAAATATGTTATTTTAACCTATTCAACCCATTTAACCAATTTCAAGCTTTAAATTAACTCCAAACTATGGCATAATCATGCCTTAAATGTTGGCCAATCAAATCTAGCTAAAATTGACCAAGTCAACATATGTAAATTTGGTCAAACTAGCTTAAATCCCTTTCTACTCTTCCAAGTTTTAATCCTCAAGCCTCAAGATTTCTTCAATTTTTCATTCCAGCAGTTTCAAATAGGCTCTAGAATGTTCTTAAGCTAATCCTATCCTTAATCAGATTAGGACTAAATCAAATCTATCCCATATGCTTAAAGGACAATTTCACCTTTCCACATAGGTGTACTTTGTCCTTTTTGATTCCTTGCTACTATCTGCCTTGGAGACAGATGGCATGCATCAAGGAGGCCCCTGAGCTAATCAGACCATCCAATAAGTCTAGGGATGCTTAAATAGGGTGAAAACTTTCATTTGAGCAAGAGGACTAACCCTAGCATTCTCTCACTTAAGATCTCTCATCTAGATATATTCTAGCCCTCAAAAACCCTCAAAAATCTTCTCTAGATATTCCTCTAGCATTTCCAAACCTTTCCCCACCGAATCCAAGCCTCCAAAGCCTCATTGGTGAACCTAGAGAGAGAAAAAGGAGTTTCAAATATAACTTTCGATCCAACAAGATAAAACTCTTGGTGTCTTCATAAGAGTTGTAGAGGATCACTGTAGCTTTCCAACGATCTCAATAACACAAAAATCTGAAGGTTGGATTGTAAGTTATTCGAGTTTTTAGTTTAAATTTCAAATTGAAACTGTAGCAAATATACAATGCATGGAGCCTCCAAAATTTTGGCATTGTTAGATTATGTTGCCCTCTAGCTACAATTCAAATTTCAGGCAATTTCGTTGAGTATTTTGAAAGTTATGGGCATTTGAAATTTTCTAGCTCAAGTTCAACCAGAACCGTCCGATCGTGCCTTCAGCGTGATCGAACGGCCCAGAAAGGGCCCCTTCCCCGCGGCTGGATTAGCTGACTCATTTAACTAGAGGGACGTGGCGCGTTCCCATTGGGCGCCTCCATTCCGGCGTTCAGTTTGACCAAAAATGTTCAAAACAAATTCAAAAAATGCTCAGAACTTTAAAAATTCACCAAAAATTCATTTTAAGTCCAAATTTGGTGTTCTTGGGCTCGTTGGAATCGTACCGAGTTCAATACTATTTTAAAATTTAGTTTGACTAAATTTGATCACTATATACAGAGTTATTAATGTTTTATTGAAAATTGAATTTCTTTGATAACTCTTAATACAGTGATTTGATTGTTCTCAA